TGAAGGCACTTATGCATCGAAACAGGCCTATGTATTCTTGTTATAGAATGGCCCTACAAAGTGTCATGTGTTCAGAGGTGGGTTTTTGCAAGGTAACTGGGTCATGTGGGCAGTGTATGTATGAAACAGTAGACTTACCCTGATGCAGTCTTGGGAGGTGGTCACTAGGCATGATCTGGAAGGGTGGGTCCCCTTCCCAGGCTCCTGCCTTCTCTCTCTGTTGCTTGGTTGCCACGGGATGAGCAGCTTTCTCCTCCAAGCCATTTCCATCCTGGAGCTTCTACTTCAGAGCCAGCTGATCAAGCCCTGTGGGCTGAAACCGTGAACCAAAATAAATCTCTCCTCCTTGAACTTGCAAGGTGCCACCCATTTTGTCCCAGCAACAGTAAAGTGACAAAGACACCCCACCTCATCACGAAAATTGGGGTAACATTTCGTACTATGACATTACTGTGGTCATGATGTCCTACGGCATTAAGAATTTTCCAGACCCATGATAATTTTACGAGATCACTGTCTCAAGTGTGGTCTGTCATTGACTACAGTGTTATGCTTTACAGAGTTCTATGTCAGCTGTTTATTTTGCCCGCAACACTCTTGCTTTGTTTCTGAAAGCTTTGGTATGTGTTTCTGCAACAACATTTTGGTTTATCTAGTTGCATTATCTTTTATATGTCTGTATATTCTTATCCATACCTTAGGGAGGAAGAGGAAAGAAATGTAAAGGTCCCCACTTTAATCAATCAACAAATGTATATTGAGCATCTGTGATGTGCAAACAGCATGCTAGTGTACTAAAGATGAGAAAGAATAGGATACACTTACTCTGTCTGTCTTAGTTTCTCAACTGAGCCATGAGGCCAAGCCAGTGCAGTGTGGGTAAACTGACTAACATCAGGGAGAAAGCAGCTATAACTAGCATTTGCTAATTTCCAGTGGTTAGATTATCCCTCCCTGGCCCCTTTCAAACTCTAATCAGATGGAACAGCACTTCTCTGATCTGCCTCCCTTGGGTTGCCTGCAGGCTACGTGGCCTTTTCCTACCCAAACAGTAGAGTTCTGGCACATCTAAGGCCACTCATGCCTTCTGGAATGAATGAATGTTAAGTAGCCAATGAGCACCCGGGATTTTGAATGTTAGCTGATGGCTATGTAGAAACACAACTCTGCCTATGAACTTGGTAAACTCTTTTTCATCACTTTCTACAAAAATGGGAGCTGTTTCCCTTCCTTTTTTGGTTCATATGCTTCAAATGAAATGGCAGCTCTGTCCTTAGGGCAGCTCCATCCCTACATCCTCTCCCAAGTCCTCCTGAGCAGCACACGAGGGCCACGGGTAGAGCTGCGGTCTGTGGCTTTAAGACTTGTCTCGCGGTTTCCTTAACTTCAAACCTAAAACCAAGCTCTTGAAAGAAACTACACGAAAAGTAATGATCCTCAAAAATGAATGCATTGTAGCAGCAAAGAAGAAATCTAATTAGCTACTATAATAGCATCATTTAGGCTTTCTTTTTCTTTTCTTCCTTTTAAAAATAAGTGCAGTGACTAAAACTTGTAGGTTCTACAGGCTTAGTCCCTTGAACTCTATTAAGTGGGACAATATGTCGTGGAGGCGGGAGGGGGTTCCAATCTCTCCATCTTAACTTTACAAATGGCCTTAGTAGACTTAAAAATATGCAGGTAATATATTTCTGTTAATTTTTAAAATTTACTTTTTAAAGGACACATAGAAATTGTTCATGGTTATGGGGTCCTATGTGACATTGCTACACATGCATACATTGTGTAATATTGAAATCAGAAATGGTGCATTTCTCTTTAGTCACTTTCCTTATTTTTTTGTGGTGGACACATTCCAAATACAATCTTTCAGCTATACCAAAATAATAATTATTATAGACACAGTGCACTAGGGCTCAAGAGCATAGTTCTTCCCTTCAGCTATAACTTAGCAGCTGTTAAATTAACCTGGTCTCATTTCTCCCTCCCTATTTCAGCTACTTTCTCTGGGACAAAGTACCCCGCGCTTGCAAGTTAAAGAAGGAGAGGTTTATTTTGGCTCACAGTTTGTAGAGGTTTTAGTACAGTCAGCTCAGCACGAAGGAAGCAGAGAGGCTGCCAGGGAGGAAGCAGAAGCACATCCTTGTAGACCACGCCCACTGCGACTCACCACTTCCCACCCGGCTTCCTCTCCTAGCTTCACACCCTGCTATAAACCTCATCAGTGGACTAAGCCAGTGACCGGCATCCCACACCTTCGATCCAATCTCCTCCCCCTGGCTCCACCTAGAAGCATGTAAAGCTTGGGGGGACATGGAGATAAATGCCATAACACTCCTGCTTACTTTGTCCAGCCTTGGGTAACTACCCTCACCTTCTAAGAGATCAACTTTTTAGATTCCAACTGGGAGTGAGATGACGCTGGGCTTTTCTTTCTGTGCTTGGCTTATTTCACTTAACACAGTGTCCTGCAGTTCCAACCATATTGTCACAAATGACAGTGTTTCATACCCTTCATGGCTGGTGTTATGGTTTGTGTCTAGTTGTCCCCCCAAAGCCTCATGCAGTCATGGGGTGAGGACTTCTAGAGTTTGTGTTAACTCATGATCCACTGGGATTATGTGTGATCCAAGGCTGGGATTATGGGTTTTAGTACTGCTGGGATTACCCGTGTAAGTACCTCCCCTAGCCTGGGGCAGGTAATTTGCATTACAATGTAAGGTGGCAAGAGAAGCCAGCTGCTTGAGCTGCTGCTACCCCTCCCTTGCGCTCTTGCTCTTTGCCGCCACCATGAAAGTTTGCTTTCTGCTCTGGGCTGCTCTGCATTGGACCCAGCTGAGTATGGACTGAAACCTCCAGTAACTGTGAGCTAAATAAACCTTTCCTTCCTTCATTTTGAGTGTCGGGTATTTGTCCCAGCAACAAGAGAAGAGTAACTAAGACAGCTGGGTAGTATTTTACTACATATATGTACAATGTTGTCTTTATCAATTCATCAGTTGATGGGCGTGTAAGGTTTTTCTATCCTTGCTCTTTTGAATAGTGTTACAATAAACAGGGGCGTACATGTCTCTTTGAGGTAGTGGTTTAATTTCATTTGGCTCTGTACCCAGTAGTGGGTTATATGGTAATTCTAGTTAATAATAAGGAACTGTAAAATAGTCCCTTACACAAGGAAAAGTTGTTAAGACACAGGAAAATAAAAGCCAGGTATTTCAGCTCTGCTAACTATCCGGGCTACATATAGCCAATGGCTTAGTGGCTCTGGGTCTTATTTCCCCTGTCTTTATAGTGGCACTTCCAGATTTATGCATAAAAGGGAGAGGGATTAATTTGAGAAGTGTGGATTCTAGAATTCCTGCATTCAGAGGATGTAAGTAGAAATGATGAAGGGGGATCTGACCAAATTCTGTCTTTTTGTGGTGTCTTGGTTACATTTCTCCTTGCTGGGACGAAATACCCAACATCCTGAGTTAAAGGGAGAAAAGTTTATTTAGCTCACAGTTGGTAGAGGTTTCAGTCCATAATCAGCTGGCTCTAAAGCAGGATGAGCTGGCACAGGGGCCTGAGCTCATGGCAGCAGAAGACAGTAAAAGCAACAAGAGCAGAAGGATGAGAGAAGCTTATTTCATCCCCTTTTATCTGATCTAGACTGCTGGGATTAGGGCAGTGTCAACCCAATAAGTGGGCTGATCCAGCAGTCACCCACCCCAATACCAGCCTTGTATTGTGAATTAGTCACAAACTACATTCAGCTGCCTCTGAAAAATCCTATACCTCATGACCGCATGGGGTTTTGGGGGGCATCTAGACACAAACCCCAACACATTGTAAGCCAAAATATTTCAGTCGAGATGAAATAGCCCTGGTCTTCACTATTCTCAGATGCTGCCATCTTGTTAGGCTCCTTTCTCCTCTGTTTGCCTCCTTAGACTGCCCTGTCATGAATTCTTTTCCCTTCAAGGCAGCCCTTGATGACCCTTGGTAACAGGCTGTGTTGCTGGGTTTAGGAATACAGTTATTAGTAGGCATGACTGTAGCTAAGTTATTTAAGCTAGTTGAGACTCAGATTCCTCATGTGTAATGTGGGGGCAAGCTAGACCTGACCTCAATGGTTTTGGGGCTACTGAGTGAGATGTCAAATAAGAAGAGCTTGGCCCAAACTCCTCTGCACTGGGAAATAGTGAGGGAGCCACAGGTAGGGTCTCAAAGCAGGACACTGAAAGTCCCTTTTGAGAGTAGTTTACAAAGAACAGGTGTGGAGGAAGACAGGGCGATTTGGCAAGCATGAGATTGGTGGAAGCACTTTTGGGGGATGCCTTGAGTCCCTTTGAGGCTCTATAAGCCTGAGGATTTGTTCTCCCAGTGCTGCTGGAAGGTTTCCATAGCTCTCAGCTCTCAGAAGTCCTAAACTAACTCACACAAGGCCACTCCCCATCCCCAGGATACCTGCAGGATTTAGGGACACAGGTGCCAGGCCCCTTTCTTCAGTTGGGGATATTCCAAAGGGTCACCCAGCTCACAGCTGTTGCAGTAGGGGCCCATTAGGGCCACACCAAAGCCCAACTTTTCTCTCTGTTCCTTTATGCTTTTCCTCTTCTTCCCCACCTCCATGTTGGTCCTACTCAAAAAGATCCGCCAAAGAAAGATGGTTTTGGATACCATTTAGGGAAATTCGAGATCCAAGCTGAGGTTTTTCTCTAATGACTCTTTCTCTGCCAAAAGATGAACCTAGGAAAGCCTGAATGATGGAGAGAGACAGTAAAGGTCCACACAAATGGTGCTGCCTATTCTGAGGCTGCTGCTGAGGATATTTTATCTGTGTAGCAAGACAAACTTCATTCACCCGTAATTCTCTTTCTCGCGCCTCCCAGAACCTGTGATGTTCTCCTCTAGAAAGCCCCTATTCTTTTCTGTAGCTCCACATCAGGCTTTTTGTGGAATCTTGATTTCAGGAAGCTCCTGTGTACACTTGCTTGCCATAAGTTTATGTCTTCTTCATACTTACCAGGCAGGGGCGATGTCACGGTCAGGAACGTGGTTTTTGCAGTGTGAGGCTCATCCTTTGCACACTGGAGGTGCTGTCCCTGAGATTTCCCCAGATGTGGGAAACTTAACTGCATATTTTGTGGTAGTGGGGGAATATGTTCACACTCTTATCTAATAAAAAATAATAAGTTTATGTCTTCTGTCTTATTAATCTCTCTACTGCCAGTTTGTTTCTGATACTAAAATACTGAGACATACAGGATGGGAGAATTTTAATCTTCTGCCACTTCATGAGCTCTGCCTCTCAAACTTGCTGCTCATCTGTTTCTGCCTCTGTCTCTCTCTCTGTCTCTCTCTCTCTCTCTCTCTCTCTCTCTCTCTCCCCAAATCTCTCTCTCCTTTCTGTCTCTTTCCCACTGCTGTATTTTTCGTGTATCATTAAACTTTCATGGTTGGAAAATTAATTCCTTCGTCCAGATGTGTTGGAGGGCCAGTCACGGGATCAAAGCCCTTAGGAATGGCTTGTTGCCACTCACTACCTTTTCTCTCTTCCACACAAGCCACCTGACCTTCCACTTCCCACAATGAGTTGAGACTGCAAAACACCTTGAGAGAAGTTGGCCATATGCTGTGGCATATTCGTGGACTTCCCAGACTCAAGGACACAAGTTCACCTGTTTCTCTATAAATTACTCAGTGTCATATTGTGGGTGAAGACACAGCTTTATGGAGGCATAATTGAAAAATAAAAATTACATATACTCAAGATTTGTACGGTGGCATTTTGACATATGTGCACATTGTGAAATGATTACCACTATCAAGCTGATTAATATAGTTAATTAATATAGATATAATCTTTTAGCAAATTTTAAATATAATGTGTGTTCTTAAGCATAATCACACTGAACATTAGTTCTTCAAATTTATTCACTTTATAAAGGAAGTTAGATGGGCGTGGTGGCACCTGCCCGCAATCCCAGCACTTGGGAGGCTGAAAACAGAAGGATAGCTACAAGTCTGATCTGTGTAGTGAGACCCTGTAGACCCTGTACTAAATACATTTAAAAAAGGAAGTTAATGTCCTTTCTTATTTAACTCTAAATTACTACTAGTAATTACCCTTCTACTATGTCTCTATGAGTTCAAGGTTTGAGAAATGAGATTATGCAGGTAAGCACGGAAGGTAGATTATTCTCTGTGGTCTTAAACCTGGGGCCAGCTACCCCTTTGCTGGATAAGCCTTGATTGATCAGATAAATGAAAACATCATGTGATCCAGAGAGGGACTTCTTCTTCCCTCTGTACTTTCTTTTTGTCCATGAAAACAACCGTTAAATAGGCTCCAAGCACTCTTTTGTGAATTTCTGCATGAGCAGTCCTGATGATCTGCTTTAGAACTGGAGTTATTAGAGTGATATATAATTTATCCAACAAGTTTAAATACAAGAAGATAAACAATGAAAAGTGTCCCTTTTGGGAGGATGGACATCAACTGCCTGCTGCGTCCTGGCTGCCTCAGGACCTCTGCTCCTGCCTACCTCTGCCAAGTACGCTGCCCTTCTTCACCCTTCTACAAAGCTCCCCGGCCCTCCAGGGGTGCCTCCCCCACCCGACCCCGCTCTTCCCCGGAGCCACACTCCCTGTGTTAGTTTTTAGCGATCAAAAATCCTTGCAAGGCAGGTGCGGTGGCGGATGCCTGCCGTGCCTGTGCTCTAGGAGGCTGAGGCAGGAGGACTGAAGCTTCGAACCCATCCTTGGAAACGTAACTCGGTGCGAAGGCTGGAAGTTCAAACCCCAGGGCTGAAAAGAAATTTAAACACACACACACACACACACACACACACACACACACACACACACACACAAAGACCTCGAAACCAGATAAAGCAAAATAAATGTGTGAAACTCACAATTTTTAATTCATAAAGGATAAATTCAGACGTGCATGTGTGAACACACCTGCGAGGTGTGAACAAACGCCGTTTCTTTCCGCTGCATGTGCGCAGCTTCGGTCTTACCCCTGGATACTAGCGGTTAGAGCGGAGGACAGCACCAGCTTGGGCCCATCGTGGGGCTCCAGGGGCTGGGCACAGCCTGGGCAGAGATGCTGCTCTGTAAGGTCTTGCTGAACAAATGAATGAACGAACAGAATGGGGATGGATCAGAAAGCACGCAACACAGAGTGTCGAGGGCCATGACAATGTTTTAGCGTTAATTTCTTTTCAAAGTAAACTGTACCCACACAATCATAAGTATATATATTTTTTCTTCTATTACTGGGGATTGAACCCAAGGACTTTGCATTAAGCTACATTCTCAGTCCCTGTTTTATTTTTTTATTTTGGGATAGGCTTTTGCCAAGTCACTAAGTTACCTAGCCTGGGTTTAAACTTGGAATTCTCCCAACTCAGCCTCCCAGAGTGCTGGGATGACCAGTAGGGGTTTTTTTTTTTGTTTGTTTGTTTTTTTTCTTAATGGAAGGAGCCTGTGAAAGTCACAGTAAGCCCCTAAATTAAAGACAAATTGGCCAAAGAGGGAGAGAGTGGAAGGCTGGGATTTCTTTCTGCCGCGATAGGTGTGGGCAGCACAAGTGGGTTTCTTTCATTCTGTCATTCACTCAACAAACATTAGATGAGTGTGTACTGTATGCTGAGTACTGTTGTAGGTGACGTGGACTCAACCCCTGTCCTGCGGAGCTGGCCATCTGGAGAGCAAGGCAGGTAACGGATGTACCCAGACAGAGGGACAAAGATGCCACACTGTGTAGGGCTGCATCTTCCACTCTGGAGACTAAATCTGGATACACACTGAGAAGGCACGTGGTGAGATACCAGGGACAGGAGAGGAGGGCAGCGCATGGAAGCCCCACCCTGATGACACCCAGCAGACGCCATTCTCCTAGCTGTCTCCTGCCCGGAAGGCCATCCTGCTGGGGATCCCATCCTTTCTTGTCCTGTGCTGCTGGGGATGAACAAATGAGACCACTGAGCCACAGCCATCCACAGTGGCATCTGGGAAAGTGGCATCCTTGGTAGAAACATCCCAGAGACTCAGCAGTGGGTCCGGGCCGGCCCTCGCCTCTGTGTTCTAGCCTTGTGGGCTGCAACCACGCAATTCCTATGAAGAGTGTTTTCCAGGAAGATGACACTGTATTCCCAGACAGCCATGTCAAGAGAGAGACACTGAAAATTAGGATTTCATTTTAGACCCACTTGATTTCCAAGAAAGACGAGTTCATAGTATAATAGAATAGAAAAACAGAGAAAGGACTCCATGGCCAAGAATGGCAGAGGTGTTTTGCAAATCACCCAGGACTGGTTGCAGCCCTGGCTTTTGAAGTATTGTGTTCCTAGTCACAGGATGAGCGCATGCTCACTGTAGGAGACCAAGAAGTTCAGGGGTGGGGAAGGATGAAGAAGGTTTCTAGAGTGCTTTCTAAGCCACAGTCCCCACAGAGAACACAGAGGACAGATGTGTTTCATGTTAATCTGAACACAGTCTTGGCCCTTGTTCTCTTTTCTCAAAATGAGGAAAAATCTTTATGTAAACCTACTTAATCTGTCGGGTGTGACTCTCCATGCCTGTAATCCTAGCTGCTCAGAAGGCTGAGGCAAGAGGGTGACAAGTTTGAGGACAGCCTAGACAAATCATCAAGACCCTATCTCAAAATAATAAAAAAGGTCTGAGGGGAAAAAAAAAAGTGTCCCTTTTACTCAGAACATCTTTAACCAATCCTCAGAGATAATCACAACAATGATTTTTATGTCTTCTTGAGGACATTTTCTCTACGTATTCAAATACCTTTGCATATATACATTTTAGACATATACGGTGTTTTAATGTGTGGTAATTAAATATGGTAATATGGTAACACATTTTATTACTCTTTATTGCTCCTTTTAATTTACAGAATATTTCATTGTATTTAATAAGAAATAAAAATTAAACTATGATGCCCAGAAGAAGTAGGACTTGTTGACTTACATAGCTGAAAGCTGAAGAAAGAGCTTGGCTCCTTGTTGACTCAAGTCCGTGGATCAGCCATGCTGTCGGAGCCTACTTTCCTGTTTGCTCTGCTGCGTCCTCCTGCTGTCAATGGTGAGGCTGACTGTCCATCTTGGACACACTGCTTTGCTAACATCCCAAGGACTGCACATTTCCGAGTTCTTATCTAGACAGAGGAAGGGTGTTCTGCTGAGTTTGTCTAAGAAGAGCCAGAAAGCTTTATTTTCGGATGGTTTCCCTAGATGCTTAAGCTAACCAGTTTTCACATCTCATCAGCATGAACTCGCTCGTGTGACTCTACGAGAAGAACCAATTCTTTTGAAAAGTGGGGTTGTGTGGATTAGTTAGCTCCGAGTCAAAAGAGGATCCTCCCCACAGCCAGGGTTGGAATCCTCAGTTTTCAAATATGTGGGCTGTGAGAGGCAGGTATTTAAGCGAAAGAACAAAATAACAACATTACTTACTATTACGTTAAACACATCTTTCCATACTGCATAGCTACACCCATTTTCTTTGCAAAAATAAAATTGTCAGTGTAGGGTTTAATTATGTTGATACAACATAATTTATTTCGCCAGTTCCCTGCTAATGGACATTTAGGTGATTTTCAAGATTTGCCTGATACGCAGCAATGCTTCAATGATTTCTGGAATGCATTATTGCATACATACGGACGGCGGATGTATCTGTTGGCTTAATTCCCAGGTAATAGGTTTGGAGATTTAATCAGCCTACATTCAGGTACAGAGAACCCAACCCACTCCAGGGATAAAGACTCCAGCCGAAACTTTGAGGAACAGTAGCCATAATTATACTGTTGGATTCACCTGGCACAGGAGCTGCTGCCCATTTGGGACGCTGTCGCACGGATCGCAGTTCCTGGAGTCAGACCCTCACGGAGTCGTGACTGGAAATTAGTGAGGACCAGGAAGCCCCTGCTGCTGCTGCTGTACCAAATCAGCCTGCCTGACCAGAATGGGAGGCATGTGCCTGGCTTCTTTTTGTACATATGTATCCATAGAAATTGGCTTTTATTTTACTTTGAAGACTGAGAGCAAAAGCAAAACCAACAGAAACAGGGTAACATAAATATGTTACAGATTTTCAAAAGAAGAATAGCTAATTAACAATGGTTGTTACATTATCTACTTTTTATTTTTTA